ATATTATTTAATTCGTTGGAGATACAATCTCCCAAAGGGCACTTGGATTTATAAACTATGTTGGTTTTTTGCAAATCGCTAACCGAGGGAGAAGAATCATTGCGAAGAAGTTGGATATACTAGATTTAGTGTAGTATATGATTAATTTAATTTGTTTGCTAGGATCTGTAGTTGATATATTTGAATTTACTAGATTTTTTAGTATATTTTCATCTTCCTTATAATTAGTATGCATTTGATCACGATGTAGGAGATTAATATATTTGAGATCAGTAGAAGCAGTATTATGTTCAATTTGCTTAGTATTGAGATTTCTAAGAAAGCATCTTATTTGTTCATCAACTATATAGTTTGGAAAGCTATTATTAATAAGTGTCTGTTTTATATTCTTTAGTTCACTGTAAAAAATCTATTTTATGGATGAATTAGTTTCTGCACGATGTATTAGATTCTTTATAATTGCTATTTTGTAGTAATATGGGAATTCGCTCTTGTAGTTAAGTGTACATGAATTTATGCTGGTAGGTTTTTTGTATGGCGAAATAGTAAATTTGTTATTATTTGTATTTATCAATATGTCAAGGAAGGGGATTTTATTATTAGTATTGAGTTCAAATATGAATTTAAGAACAGAATTATTTTCGAAACGTTTTTGAAGTTGAATTATTTCATCTGTATTTTGAACTAACATAAGAATATCATCAACGAATCTTAGGTAGATCGATGTTTATTTTTTTTAATCTGTAAATATCTTATTCTCGAGGTTCGACGTGTAGAAATTGCTAATTGGGTTCAGTACTGGGTCCGACATTTAGCAATTTCTACACAAAACTAAAAATCCTTGAAGCATTATACATCAAACAGCTGAAACCCAACCTAAACAAAATCAATTATGGCATCTCTACAAATATTTTTAATGTCTATAATTGGTAACAGAAGCCATTGGTTTATACCAACGGCTTTCCATATTTCATACTTCTCTAATTCACTCTCGTGTCGTCATGTGTGACGTCATGAGATGCGGTACGATTTTCGCTTTTAGCGTCTTATATGCACGTGTTTATCGTTGCTTAGAAATCATCTATGTAAACAATGACAGGCTATCATCACTGTCATGTCCGTATATTGCTTAATATGTTATAAT